TCCCAACCGCGGCAAGGCGCCCGGTGTCACGCTTCAGCAGTGCAACGCTCAGGAAACTGCTTGCAGAGCTGCTGATGATGGTGCTTAAGTGCTCGTCAAGCTGTCAAGCTGTCAAGCTGTCAAGCTGTCAAGCAGGGGGGGGGGCAAACTTGGAGATCCTGTTTCGCGATCTGATCTGTAACCACACAACAGCGAGTGAGTGAGTGGGGCGAAGCCAAGTTGATGTTCGGCTTTTTGGGTATTACAATCATTACGACAGTCATGGTTTGTTGGTTTGTTGGTTGTCCGTCACCGTTATTGTTGTTGTTGATGTTGTTGTTGAGAGGGTTCAGTTGAAAGACCGGGAGTTCTAGTTTCAAGAAGTGTATGATATAAACGTTGGATACTACTATTTTCACACACAAGCCTTTTTGTTGCATGCATGGATGGGGATGAATGACTGCACCAATTTTTCCTTTCTATGTTCAGGTTTTTTTTACTCCGAGTCTATCGTGCATGCAGGGTGCGGTACATAGGCCATTGTGCCAGCCAGTCCAAAGTCAAAACCAAAAACCCAGCATATGTCCAGAAATTCCTCCATCCGCCCTTTCTTTCTTCCTTGTCATCCCACATACCCACCTCTACACTACACTCCGTCTCCGTCCGATTAAAGGTTGGTTGCATTTACATAAAGTTTTACCCAAGATCCGGGGGTTCGGATCTAGCCTTTTCCATGAGGAACGTGTTACACCTGTCGTCTCATGTCTCGAACCCCTCCAGGGGGTCGGTGTTTCGAATCGTAATGCAAGAACACTGTACGCGAATGGCGCGCGATGAAACCGATCCGTCGGTACAACCAAAGAAAAAAAAAAATCTTTTTCTTTCCAAGGTGGACTGCGAGCCTTATTATGGAAGGTGCTCTTACTGTACCTTGGAAGTTGGAACAACGTACCTCTAGGTAGGTTCGTTGTTGCCTGTCCCTTCCATTAGGTTGTGCGCTGTGACTGTGAGTGGGTGAGTGAGTCTAGGGAAAAGAGCGACCGGTCGAAAAGGGGGTGGTCCCTGATGGGCTCGGATGGAACGCATGCATGCATGGACCTCCTCGGTTGCGGCTTCCCTTCAGTTGAGGCGATGATTGATGTCTTTGTGCAAATCCAAAGGTATAACTTACTTGGGTTGTTCTAGAAGGTCACGTCTGGTTCCTGCCTACCAGTGTCCCAGGTATTTGCCTGGTGACAACTTGGAAGCATGGAAGCATTTACGCGTACTGCAACTCGTAGCGAGGTCGGGTGTTCCTCGTTACTAGTCTGGTCAGTCTAGTGAGTGTACCTGATGAGGTCATACCTTTAGAGGTACAATAAGGCACACATTGGTTGACTGTGGTTGACCAGTTCACCAACCTTGACGGGCTCAATCCTCCTTCCTCTCACAGATGGGTTTGTTTTGCCCATGATAGATCCCGTCCCCGAAGAGGAAAACAATGGGTTATTCACTTAACTGGTCTGGCACGGAAACTTGGATGTAAAACCCATCCGTCAGGGGCCATATGTAAAGTGCTCTAATGTTTACAACAGAAGAGAAAAACTAAATAAGCGTAAGGAGCTAAAGAGAAACAAGCAATCCAAAGGCTTCGTAAAGGAAGAAAAAAAGCTTCATTATGTAGGTAGATAACCTCCAACCAACCAACCATCCATCCATCCTATGCCAGCCAGCCATCAACCATGCCACCCAACCAAGCCGAACCATGCCATCCCATATCGCACTTCAGATCATAATACCAATGTCTATAATCTGTTCTTCAACAACTCTTGCTTTCCCTTCCCGTCCCCTCACACATCCATCCATCCATATCATGCAACTAACAAGTTCAGCTGACTGACCCCGTCGGCCAGTTGAGCTCTCAACAGCAACAAACATCACTACAATCTAAAACACCCTAGCAACAACAAGCCCCCCCTTTCTTTTTTTCAATTACAACAAAAGTACAAGGGCCCTTTGCCCCGCCCATAAAAATACCAACATGCCAAAAGGCCTATTGTGTTCCTTGCCCCTCAGAAGCCAATAAAAGATAGGGGCTTGGGTTAGGGGAGAGCAGAATTAGGCATGGGAGTTGGACAACGCCTAAGCAAGTCCAAGCTCCAAACAGCCACAGCCGCCTGTATCTCGTCCCCGTGAACTTAGAAGTACAACCCGATAATGTCAAAAAGAAACGACATTTAGAGGTTCTTCTTCTGGTTCTTCCTGCTCTCCTTTCTGGCCTCGAGGTCACCCTCCGCTAGCCACCTGCTAGCCTTGACGAGCTGGACGACGTTGATGATTTGCTTGAGCATCATGACGGGAAAGGAGATGGCTGCGATGATCCAAGGGACGGTGGAGTCCTACAAAAGACGAACACGAATCAAAGGTTAGTAAAACTGTTAAGCTGCTTAAATTTGCAAGATGATGGAGTGGGAGGGAAATGATGTCTGTCGGCTTACCATCTTGTTGGCACGCGCCAGCTCGAGAGCAGCGGCGCTGTAGGGGTTGGCCTGCTTAATCTCGGGAACCTGCTCCAAGAGGCCAGGAGAGAGGAGAGGGCTCGAGAAGGAGAGCAGGTAGAGGGCGATGAAGAAGACCTCGTTGAGGGCGCAGCACAAGAAAAGAACGGTCTGTAGGTCCCGCATGTCAGCTGCCAACTTCTTTCTCCTAAAGTATAGACCAGAACGCACCCTGTTGGTATAGTAGAGATTAAGAATCCAGCTCCTCGACTTGTCGACGTTCTTGTGGCTCTCATCCGAGCCGCCCATGGCCAAAGTCGCGTACATGTGCATGTAGTGGCTGGCCATGTCGAGGGCGATCAGGCCCTGGAAGACGATGGACCAGCGGGGGAAGGCGGAGGCGAGGAAGACGAGCAGACAGGCGGTCGTGCAGCGGTCCGTCACCATGTCGAGCACGGCGCCGAAGCGGGTAGACTGGTCGAGGTAGCGGGCGGCATAGCCGTCAAGGGCGTCGAGCAAGCATGAGATGCTGTAGAGGAGAGAGCATGTTCGTGGGTGGAGGGGCATGTAGTAGAGCGAAGCTACGGCAAGGATGATACGGGAGTAACCTGTAAGTAGTGGTGGGCCAAACCCTGTTAGCGAAGCCATTCACGATCTGGTCATGTCTTGAGGTTTACACAGGCGCGAGGGGCATGGGACCCGGAGACAGAGGCAGCGGAAGCAGTGAGTGGAAGCATTCGTGAATTCGTACCGATCAAGTTTGGCACAAATGTGTAGATATTCTCCCGTGGCTCGACATCCTCCCCACGGCGGACCTGTTCGGTGGCCGGCATGATTTCGTTTTCTAAGGGTTTTCTGGGCTGAACACCAGGAGAAAACACTGCGCAATATTTCGAAGCTGTAGCAAGACTACTGTAGAGCTTGCAGCTTGCTTGGCCAAGGTGGTTGTTTCTCGAGCTCGGGGGAATCAATTAGAGGGGGGTCCGAGGGTTCCGCTTGTTGTAAATAGTCCAGTTAGAGAAACGGAAAGGTCCAAAGTCGGGAATTCGGTGAATTAAAGAGTTAATCGTGCGCCAGTTGTTCAAAGTTGGCAGTAGCTTGCGTGTTGTGCTTGGTTGCGGAAAATCGGCGAACAGGGGGGTTGTTGGGTGGACGACGGAGATGAAGCGATTAGAAAAAAGGAGGGAAGATAGGGGGAAAAGGTAATGGAAGTTCTTGTGTGTTATAAAGTGAAGGTGAGGCAGCTGCTGTGATGAGATTCACAAGCTGAGAGAATGGACGACAGAACTTGAAGATGAGGTGCTCACGGAATCGTAGGCTGAGGTGAGGCAGTGCCGATGAACAACGAGAAGAGAGTCAGATTCGGGTCGGGTTCCAGTTGCGGTGCGTCGGGTTGCCAGGCCGGATTTCTGGATTCTGGAAGCTGGCTGGGTGTATGATGATGGATAGGTGAGCCGCTGGGTACCCGTGTACTTGGACGTTAGCGAATGGGGCCAACCAGAGCGGACTGGAGCGGCCGACTGGACTGGAGCCTTCGGCCTTTTGATTAACCACTGGAAGGACCGTCGGCTCGGCGCCCATTCTAAGGTAGAGGTACTTGCCTGCCGGCTCCTGTCCGCTATTTCGGTCGGTCACGGCGCCGAAAATCTGCCCTCAGTAAGACGTCAGTGGTTCGTGCTTGTACACGCTTTTGGTGGGGCTTGCATCGGCTGTTATCTCTTATCTACCCCTGAGATTATGCAATCTTCCCGATCTGTTCCACTTGACACGACGGCATTGGGATGAGGCTATTCCCAGAATCACAGCACTAGTACCTATCCGATGTCCTGATGTTCAACATTGTGCTGCACCATCCAACTTCATCCAGACAGGCTCATACGTGCATTGTCTGCTTTACAAAAGGAATTCACATGGAAGAACTGAAAACTGAGCTTGTAAACCATTTCCTGTGCTTCTGCTGCAATAGCTTCGCTGAACTGTAAAACGTCTGTTTATACAAAAACATGGTTTCCGCTTCTCCGACGAGCTTCTGACCTATTTCTTCTTCTTCTGTCCTCTATTCGCGGCACCTCCTTTGCTACCACCCTTCCCGGAACTTCCTCCGCTTGAAGCAGCATGACCACCAGACTGCATCACGGTGACCTTGCTCACAGGCACGCAGTTGAAGGCCTCTTCAACCTTCAGTCCCTTGATGAGCTCTACCTCTCTGGGCCAAATCTTCTCAGGATCCGACGACGACTCATCAATCCAGCCTTTCTTGGCGCCCGCGATCCTCCACCGCTCAACGATCTCCTTAACGGCCTTGCCCTTCTTCGTATTTC